AGTTTGGTCCAGACACACCTATTCCTAACCTATTATCATTATCCTGTTTATTCCCTCCTGATTACCCGAATTCCCACCGATCTCCCTCCCCCGGTACGATACCATAACCCCCGTATTACCCTTCCAAACGGCCCCCCGGCTACATATGGTAGCCTTATAAGGATCTTTTATAAGTAGTCTTTTCCTGATGTAAAAAATCTTTTAAACTATTACTTTTATTACTACGATATTCCTTAGTCAGTTGAATAATATGCTGTTGTTTCATCTTTAGTTCTTTAGTTATCCATGTACAGGGTGAATAAAAAGTCAAGACCCCCCCATCTAATATTTTTCCAAGTAAATATACAGAGATATCCTTTTGGGGGTCGTGCAATCTTATCAGGAAGTTTCTTTTTATGATTTTGAAATTTTTGAGTGTCCCCCCAAAAGGGGGGATTTGGGGGGTAACTCAAATATTTTAAATGTAAACCCCCTTCAAGTGACACCTCATTTTAAAGTGTTTACAAAAACTTAAAGAATGGCGAAAACTAGAGGTCGCTATCTCTTCCCTGTCCAAAATGGTAGCCCGTCAAATGTTGTGGAAAATCAATGGTAAAATTGGTTCGTAATTGTAATATTGGCTACCATTTTGGATAGAGAAGAGATAGCGAACTCTGGTTTTCACCATTCTTTAAGTTTTTGTAAACACTTCAAAATGAGGTGTCACTAAATGGGGGTTTACGTTTAAAATGTTTGAGTGTCCCCCCGAAAGGGGGGATTGGGGGGCAACTAAAAACCTTTCAATGTAAAACCCCATCAGGTGACACCTCATTTTGAAGTGTTTAGAAAAACTTAAAGAATGGTGAAAACCAGAGTTCGCTATCTCTTTTCTATCCAAAATGGTAGCCAATATTACCATTACGAACAAATACATTCATTGATTTTCCACAACATTTGACGGGCTACCATTTTGGTCAGAGAAGAGATAGCTACCTCTAGTTTTCACCATTCTTTAATTTTTTGTAAACACTTTAAAATGAGGTGTCACTTGAAGGGGGTTTACATTTAAAATATTTGAGTTACCCCCCAAATCCCCCCTTTTGGGGGGACACTCAAAAATTTCAAAATCATAAATTGAAACTTCCTGCTAAGATTGCACGACCCCCAAAAGGATATCTCTGTATATTTACTTGGAAAAATATTAGATGGGGGGGTCTTGACTTTTTATTCACCCTGTATAACTAGACCAATCATTACCACATTACTTTGTCTTGATTTTCAATAACTGTTCCATACAGATAAGAGAGAATGACTTCTTGACATTTGACGCCATGAGACATGCGGCCCAGTGCGTTGGGAGAGCTTTGAGAGGCAAGACTGACTACGGTATCATGATATTTGCTGATAAGGTGGGTCTAGCAAGTAGAATTATTCTATTAGGTTCTTTTGAAAAAGATGGGGAAACATCTACTTGAATTTTTGTGGACTGTTATTTTGCCATTAATTGCCTCAAAATTTTTTTTGTTGGTTTAATCGTGTCTCCATTCTTTCTTCTGTTGCAAAATCCACCAAAACTTACCTTGCTTTACTTGTATCCAAAGTTATTTTATTAATTCTACAGTTATCATCACACAAATAATGAAGTACTCACTGTAATGGGCAGTAGAAGTTTCACCTTAAAAATATTCAAACCCGTTTTTAAGAAGTTTTAAAAGTTCTACGGTATTATAGTTTAGTAATTAATGCAACGACATGTATGTTGCAGAGATTCTCAAGGTCAGACAAACGCAGTAAGCTACCTAAGTGGATTCAGGAACATCTGAAAGACTCGTTGTGTAACCTGTCAACTGAAGAGGCTGTGCAGGTGAGAGATACCTATGTTAATTTTTTTCGATGAGTTTCACACTACCATACCTATCTCAAAAAATTGAATAGTCTGTAATGCTATAATCTCTATATAGTAAATAGTCCTATTGCAATTATTTGGAACCTGTATCAATTTGTTTGGTTGTTTTGTACAGTCTGATCTTAATTTTGCCAGTCCAACACGTTTGGTAATTTGACAAGCTCATTATGGTCATAGTTAAGACAACGATGTAAAGAACTACTGGATTGCGCTCTCAGTGGAGTAGCGGGCGCTGTTTTCGGTCTAGCTTCCCCCACTCCCTACTGGCAGAGGCTGCCGCAGCCCATACACTCACCATTATAAATCACACCTTTTTAGTCGCAAGTCTGTTAAAATATATAGAGATAAAATATTGCTAACGCATATTAAACTTTTTTTATTATTCTAAATTTTATGTCTGTTTAGTTTCTTGCAGAAAATAACACATGGGAACTCTTTAAAACCACACTTTTGCTACATTTGATTTTAGATGTTTGTAGTCAACTGATAGTGCTACTACCAAATTATGTATGGTAAATTAATAATCAGTAATAGCAAATAAAGGATATAAAATAAAATATGTGTAATTTCCAACCCATCATTAAACGAAAACGTACTTAGGCCTACACATTAAACATTTATGAATAGAATAAATCTGTTCAGTTTTTGCTGCATATATATTTTTGGCGTAAACGCAAATCTTTTTCTTTCGCTTTTTTGTGATCTATTTTGTAAGATACATTCTCATCACACAGTGAAAAATGTATGTATTTAAGTCAAAAACCCAACGAAATCGTTCTATTCATAAATGTTAAATATGTAATATGTTTCCGTTTAATAAATAGGTTTGAAATTACAAATATTGTACTGCCTGTAATTGCTTTGCAATTAATTATTATTTTACCATGTAAATTTTGGAACTAGCAATGTCAGTAGTTGTTCTATAACTTCCAAAATTCAGTATAGTGAATGTTTTAGTTTTACAGAATTAAAATGGGTTATTTTATGCAAGAAACAAAACAGACATAAAGCATTGAATAGTAAAAAGAGTTTGACATGCGTTAGCAACATAATATCTCTGTATATTTCAACACAACCGGCAACTAAAAAGGTGTGTTTTATAATGGTGAATGTATGGGCTGCATCGGGTTCTGCCAGTAGAGGGTGGGGGAAGCTAGACCGCGTGGCCAACACTGAGCCAGCGATCCATGAGTTGTTTATATCGTTGAGTTTAGATAACGTAGACACCGGACTTGCTGCTAGGAAGAAAAATGTTTAATGTACAGTGCAGTAGTAAAACTTGTGTAGACTATGTTTACATGTGAGTTTATTGTTTATTCATCCAGATGCAGTACCTCACACTGACATTTAGAGGGTGAAAGTAAAAGCAAAATAAGGTAATAAATCACGTTTTAAATAAAAATAATGCTTTGGATTTAAAAATATTAAGTTTCATCAAAACCCAACATTACTTTCCTTTCCATGTCCACAGATTGCCAAACGATGGCTACGTCAAATGGCTCAGCCTTTCAGTAGAGAAGACCAACTTGGCGTGTCGCTGCTTACACTTGAACAGCTTGAGAAGGAAGACTTAGAACGGAAAAACCGAAGAGTCGACACTATCGAGAGAACAACTGTTGAAAGGATGGTCATCGATGATTGAATCAGTTCAATTGACTATTAGCGGATCAGTTTATAAGGAACTTGCTTTACATAATCAAGTTTGACTTTTTTTGTTCGATGAGATCCCAAGTTAATTTGTATGTGAAGGCATAATTAACTCCCTAATAAGGTTTTTTATAAGAAATACTTTGGGAGTTTAATTCTCACCTAAGATTCTAAACCATTTAATGAATTAATTATTAATTGATTAAATACCATTATTTAATTCTAAACCAGTAGAAATATTGGCTGTGGAAAGTATGAGTTTGTAGGTCTACATACTTATTAAATGGACTAAAACTAAAGTTATGCATCACTCAGATAAATAATCTTTTAACTACTTTTATTTTAAAACAATCCAAAAGAGAATTGGTCTAAATCATTGATAGGTATATAAATCATTTTGGATTTAAATTTAAAAAAACAATTATCATTTTTTAACCCATTTTTTATATTTTTTAATCGAAAAAAGAATTGCTTAATTTATAATTAATTATTGATAATGAATAAATGTGTTTTTAAGATGTATATAAGTAGTCTGTTTCTCCAAGTATTGTTTAATAAAAAGGTTTTTTTACTCCGTGTCATAACATTATTTCTCATTCCTCCATTTTTAAGTAAAAAGGCTTGTGATTAACTGTATCATGTTCATGATAATATTATAATTGAATCTAAAAAATAGATATGCGAATCCAATTGCAAGTAGTTGTATTAACTTCTACAAAGAGTACACTTACAAAGAGTGGTCAACTGTCAAAATATTTTCTCTTGGATTTTAATATAAGAAAAAGTTAAATTAAATAACAAAGTGGTTTAGCACAAAATACATTTCCAAAAGAAATAATCTACGATAAATTTTAAGCAAGCGTCGGCTTCATAACCTTGCCAAAGTGAACGGTTACAGAGTTACAAAAAAAGGTTAAAAACAGACATTTTTAACAGTTAATTAAAAATATAAATGACAATCATATATACAGAATAACGTATTTGTGTTTTGTTAAGGCAACTTGTGTTTTAGCAGCCTGTAGACAACTTATAAACCCTTACAGGAACCTCAATGGCTTAGTTAAACAACCAATGTCTGGTAAAGTGCTGCACTTTACCTAGCAAGCTTTGCCTAAAATCTACCCTTTAACCATGGTTCCAAGGGTGCTTTACCTTACCTCAATCAAAGAGGGGATGTATAGCGGAGTCAGACTGCACGTACATCCTAGACAGGAACCGCCATTGTAGATCCTAAAGCAATATGATGCTTTCTGTGGTATCAGAATTCCTCTTAAACCAACAAATTAAGAACTAAAATAATGCCCTGCTGCATTTTTAGACCACATTATTTGCGTTAATTATTGGTATCCTATACTATACTCTTTGGTATGAGACGCACAATTGTTTGAAGTACTTAAGAGCTCTAGTGAGATTAAAATAGCCCTGGGTGTCCATTCAAGTTTGAGTGGGATTGAAATAAGAAACTATCTTGAATGTAAGGAATGTACAGTTTTATCTATTGAAACTTTACATCTACAACAATACATGGACAAATCAGAAAAATAGATTTGTTTTCCTCAAAAATTATAAACAGGTATTAAATTTTAAAATCAGTCATGTTGATTTTTACAACTCTTAATCATCTGCGTCTTCAAACTGTCCGTCATCTTCCATTTCCTCATCCGGGTTGATTCGGAGACCATTCATATTCAATCTGAAGTATTCATCTAAAAGAAAGAAGAGCATGAATGAATGGCAGACTTATTCTGGTAATTAAATATATTTAACAAAGGAGCTCTTTAATTAGAAGACTACCTCTTTGTGGGTTATTTGGAGGGCCACCTTTTTACACTGAAATGTTGATGGTCCAGCCCTCCGGGCCTCTCCTCCAAAAGTTGTCATTGTGGCCCTTGAGTAAAAAAGGTCGGAGACCCCTGTTCTAATGGAAACAAGCAGCTGTTTAGTAAGTGATTCAATCGTTTCGTCTATTGCGATTAGAGGTGTGGGGATATCAGAAAAAAGGGGTCAGATTCGGTTCGGTTCGGATATCCGTATCCGAACCGAGCCTAAATTTGATATCCCACACTATCCGTTATATATCCGACTTTTTTGGATAGACAACATATTTTGACGTTTTGGCCAGAAAACTAAATCTCCATAACCATCATTAGTTTCCCAGGACAAAATTACAGCAATACGTTTCCAACGACAACGTAACAGCAAAGGACAAAGAAGCCGTATGATGCAATACCGATGTCTAGTTTATAGTCGTTATCGGCTGTTTTGTTTTACGATTAGTTTCGTCTGGAACGAACAGACAAGCAGAAAAGAACTACCATGGTTAACTCGTGCTTGTCTCCTGATACTAGGGGCGCTATGCAAAATAGTTTTTTTTTACAGTACTGTTTTAAAGTATAAAAATCTAGCCTTCTTCTGTGCTGTTACGTAAACAATATATTTAATGTTTCCCGAAAAAAGTTAGAATAGAAACAATAGAAAGGCAACACAATAGAAGGGTGGGAGGGGTTGGGCAATGACCTCGAAAGGAGCCCGGGTAATGGGTAGCAACAGTGAGTCGAGTAGGCCTTGAGGGGGGAAGGGGTGGGTACAACCTTGAAGCTATATATAGACTTGCACTACTTCCCTAAATCTAAAGGACTGGCTGGCGAGTGGTATTCCAATCACAGGACAAGATACGTTGTTTTTCGGGTATTCATTGCCCGGTTTGACTTTGGATTGTCTTATTGTGTAGGCTAGAAACTTTGAATAATCAAAAATAAAATTAGAACCAACCACGATTATTTAGCATTGATTGTGTAGGTATATTAAATGATTAAATGATAGGGACCAGGGGAAATATACAAACTTTTGTCATGATTTGAATTTCAACATCTAAATACAATATTGCATAATCGTGATATTTTAGGTCATTGACCTTTATTATGCACCCGGTATTGCTGTTTCAGAAGAGAAGCACGTTGATAAATTGTAAATTGATATTCCCGTGGTTAAAAAAAAAATTATTTTATAAACCTATAAAACTAAATCATAAAATCTTACATAAAGATAATAACAATAACAGCAATTGTAAAAAGGGTATAAAGATAACGTCATTATACTTTCTCTTTGTTCTTCTATTTCTTGGGTTTCCCTTCATCAAGCATTCAACAAGTTGTCTAGTTGCCATGGTTACTAATCACCCGGGGTAAAACTTGACGAAAATCGGTTAATGTTTACCTATTATTCAATTACCAATGTCATTTATTGGTACTGTATTAATAAATTGGCCGATTTTTGTCAAATTTTACACAAATTTTATTTAAATTTCAAGGTGAATATCAATAAAACAATTATTACCAAATATTTTAATTCATTTAAAAGATTGATCTGTGGTATTGGGTTCCCCACTGAGTGCAGCCGAGCGTCACTAATGAGGGTCGAACACCTTGGGGGATGGAAAATAGACGTACGGCTTATCAGACCCGACCCTCCCCAGTGGTCTGGAGAAAGCTTGTAAAAAAACTATTGCACAAGCGTGACTTGACATTGGGCTGCATCAACTTTAATTTTTTCAAATGAACTGTGATGTTTCAAAATCAAAAACAATAATTTCGGACCATACTGCATAACAATAATGGACTGCAATAATTGTTGAATATTCAACCCATTTTTAACCGACTTCCCCACTACCAACAAAAGGAGGAGGTTCTCAATTTGTTTGTGGCGATGTTTTTTTTTCTATGTATGTTCACCAATTTCTCTGTGATTCTTTTACCGATCAGTGTGGTTCCACCACCAAAATAACCAGGAGAGTTTCTATTTGGTACCTTATATATTATGTTTAAGTATAATATTTGTTTCGGTGAAAAATTCTGAAAACCTTAAATATTCAACATTTATTTTGTTTACATTTTTGCAGATTGTTTACATTTGTGCAGAGAAGGCAATAAATAATTATAACATTCCTACAGCTGTTAGTTGAAACCATTTAAATGAAGCTAGAGACAATTCTTCATGGAATAGTTGAATAGTTGGTTCATATTGATCAATAAACTACTTCTTGCCATGCATTTTGTTTTGGTTACTATAAAAAATGTATTTTAACGTTTGATCTGATTTGTGTATACAGTAATTCTGTTTTTAGTATTGAATATTCTGACTTAACCCTTAGAGTGCCAGGCGAGAAATAAAAGTAATGCTCAAAAAATGCCGATGATTTTTCCCGAAGGTCGCGCTAAAAATGCCGAGCGCGATCTGGCGATTTTTAGGTTAAAATTTCGACTCAATGTTAACATATGGGTTAAAAGAATCCGAGTATCCATTCGGTTGTTATGACAACTGTTCGATCATTACGAAACGTCCGGTCAGCCGGACGTTGGCACTTTTGGTTCGTTCTAAAAACGTCCGGTCGGCCGGACGTCGGCACTTTTGGCTCGTTTTAAAAACGTCCGGTTCCCCGGACGTTGGCACTCAAAGGGTTAAAAAAACATATATGTTTCAGTGAATAGCTGTATAATATTGACAAATAAAGGTGTATTGTGAAAACCAATGCATTCGTAAAACAGGTCTAAATATAAATTAAATGCAATTATTCCTTACACGACCTAAGAAGTGTGACAGTGCATACTCGTCAATTGTCTTAAAAGTGTTAAATATTTTAATTACTAAACATGCATTTGCAGATGTGGAATGTTTATTGATATTCTCTACCCATTTACTATAACATATCAATACTATTATGCCTGCTTCGGAAAGTCCTAGAGGAAGATGATTTGCAATTTCGACTAGGCTATATCTTGAGCAAACAAAACCCCCTACATGACTTACACCACTTTTAGCTGAACCAATCTTTCATATAATATTTTCCAAAGGTACTATACGTGTTATCGACCAATTTTCCACTTTTGAGAGATTTTTTAGTGCTGGTAGCTGAGGAATAACTTTCATATTGTTCCAAAAGGCTTGAGATGTTACTGTATTTCTTTTTATAATGTAGAAGTACACCGATTGCAGGAAACGACGATGTCTGACATTTCAATGTATCAAGAAAAGACAATTAGTTTTTCATTAGGCCTAATGTAATGGACAACTCTTTCTTTCTTAAGGAATATCTAAAAATGTTTATTTTCATACCCATTGATTATGTAACCTGAAAAGGTGACTCAAGCAGTTTTAAAATAATGATTGTTCTGTGGAACTTTTGATTGTTTCAACCAGTTTTGCTTATCAAAAAACCTCAAGTAATTAATATATAAAAAATTATACAGTCACTAAAAATCATGAAATAATTTATTTTTGTAAAAAAATACAACCGACTTCAAACGCTCTAAAAAGAATGAAATAATTTCAATAAAGTAAACTTTTGTATTAGGAAATCTCACGTATTTCAAGTCGGCGCGGTCTTAAACTGCAAATATGATTGAAATTAAATATTGTGTGTGTATTTTGAAAATCAATAAATTGTAGCTGGATAACATAAATATATAAAAAAAAACATACTGAACTGTTTTGTTTATATGTTAAAGGAAATATTTTCTTGTATTTTATGTTTACTTCAGAATAAATGCGTTATGAAAATAACACACACAAATGTTCTATATGAATAGGAAAATAATTTAGTTTGATATTATGATAGGGAAAAGAAGCTAGTTTAGTATTAAAACGTCACTTTTCTATGTTAGAAACATTTAAATGCGTTATAATCTTTTTAAAGATGCTCGTTAATACCACTATAATGCCGATCTCTGATTACGGTAATAAAACAACACTTAACGCATAACTATGAAAAAGACATGCAGATTAACAACTTTAGTTATACATAGTCACCTGCAATATGGACACCCTCTTTCAATTTTGTATAAAAAATCATCATAGAGCCGCGCCGACTTAAAATACGTGAGATTGCCTAATACAAAAGTTTACTTTATTGAAATTATTTCATTCTTTTTAGAGCGTTTGAAGTCGGTTGTATTTTTTTACAAAAATAAATTATTAACAAACTAAGATTATACTATTCAAATACAATTTTAAAAATATGAAATTTATAAATTCAGGGATACACACATTTTACAGAGTTATAAAGCCTAATTGCCCTGAATTAACTTGCCACAACATGAAATCTAGAGCCCAGCTTAGACAGGAATGTTTTCTAAACTTGGCAAACCCGCAGAATAAGGCCAATAATCCGTTCCAAAAACGTAAGGAAATACAATGTGAAAATAAACTTGAGATAGAACCCTTTGTCTTGTGAGAACCAGGAAACAACATAAAACAACAAGCCCAAACGTTTTGACACCAGTCCTCCTGAGCTAAAGTGTTGTGTGAATATTTCGGCTTCTAGTGTACTTAATTCAAGCAACCAACTTTTGAAAATAGATGTTGTGATTTTCAAGAGAGACAAAAACTGTGGACATAGCTAATTTGAAATTCTATGATTCAAAATCGTCATTTAAGTTTATTTACACAGCTTTACAGTGTTTTATAGGTTAAAACTGCATATGCAGCTTATTATTAACCGCGCCGAACTATCCGAATCCGAACCTCCCAATATCCGATCCGAGCCTCAACTATATGATCCGAAATGAAATTTCACTATCCGCACACCTCTAATTGCGATTGCGTTTGTGTACATTACACTTTTAATATGTAAACTATTTACAATAAGCTACAATCTGTACATACTCTCGATACATGCAATTGTTTGCAATCAAAGTTTACAACTCAGTTGACAACATCTGATTTTTACTGCATAGGGGCTTTAAACACTTTTTACTCCCTAGAGAGAAACATTTTTCTTTAGACCCTCAACGCATATGCATTACTGCTGTTTTTGCTGCAGTATGACAAAAACGCGGTATTAACAATAGTTTATTTTAGATCCAAACTGAAGAGGGAAAGAAGGTGGTATAATACACAACGATAGGTAATGTGAAAATGATAACTTTTCTTACCAATGCCATTTGTATATTCTGAATCTCCACCGGCCAAGACATTTCTCTCGTCATCAGCATCCTCATAAAATGCATCCTCTTCTGAAACTGAATAAATAAGTCTAAAAATCATTAACTACTAATTATTGTGACAAATTAGGGTATACAATCATTAAGGTAATCAATTTTCTACAGTTGCCACACATGCTAATTATTGACAGTACGGTATTAAAATTGTTTTTAAAATAGTTAAGTAAAATTCACAAAAGAGTTCTTGAGCATATACAACAAATAGCCAAAGACCTTTATCTTTAAAATGATTATGAAATTTAATGACATAGAGTACCCAAAAATTTTAATTTTTAATTGCTCTAAGTACATTTCATTATTTGTAAACATATTTAAGCTGTAAATCAGAATTAGATAATAAAGCATGTGTAAATCAGTTTCACCTCAGGTAATAACTTTATCAGGGTTGTTATTTACTGTAACACTGGCTTGAACAAAACGTTCTTATTGGTAATTGTTAAAAAAAGTAAAAAAGAACTAAAATACAGAGATGCAGTGAACCAGCAAGATTGAAAAGATATCTCTTGTTTTCAATTCCCCTCCTATCCTTACTAAGTAAGTAAAATATTTGAAACCTGCATTAAAATAACCAATTGAGCTATATTTAATCCTACTGATTTAAAAAAAAAAACCTACGGTCTGAGAATGAGTCATTAGGGTCCGGATGCTGTGTTTGGCAGAAAGTCATTGCTCTGTACATGGCGTCCAATTGGTCTTTGTCTTCCGGAACAAACCTCAACTCTGTCGCCATGTCTTCATCATTATCTTCTTCTCGGTTCTCATCAGCACCTGTGTTCATATTAATTAGCTAATACAGCATTAACAAAACTTAATATAGAATCAACCAATATAACTTGCATACATTGTAATCTACTTTGCCTATATCACCTGGGAGCTTACGTCAAATGATTCTAAAATTATTTGCTTATTTATTTTCAAATTTAATTTTTATGTGGCGGCTTTTGTTGAAAGGTTTGTCAATTTCTTTTTCTTTGTTTCAAAGATTGGAGCCTGAGCATAAAATTACAAACATTTCTCTCATACTAGCTGGCCCGACAGAGGTCGTCCTGTCCTAATGTGGATTTATGTCAAATGCTTCTTCATTTTCAAGATGAACTCGTTCGCATGGCTCAATCACGTCCTGGTTGAAGTTCGTTCGCTACGCTCACTCACCTTTAGGTTGGAGCTCGTTCGCTGCGCTCACTTGCCTTCAGGTTAGCTTGTTCACTATGCTAACTCGCCTCCAGGTTGGAGTTTGTTCGTTACGCTCACTCACCTTTTGGTTGCAAATTAGCTGTTGTCATAAATAATAAAAATATAATAGTGCTGAACCCTGTTGGTAAACCTATTAATTTTTAATGCTATTAAACGTCACAGAATCAAATTGTTTAGTTGAACCAGCTGTTAAGATTCTTTAATTCCATTTAAATATGAGTACACATAAGGTTAACATGGGAAACTCCAGAGTCACTGGGGCGGAGCCCTCTTGACGGATCTGCACCAAACTTTACACAAAACATCCTTGAATAATGATTAAAAATGTCTGAAGGTTTCATTACAGTCTGTCGAGCGGTTTCGAAGTCCATAAAGGACAAACAAACAAATATCCATACATTGGATTTTATATATATACAGGGTGTCTCACGAGAGGTGTCTCAAATTGATTACGGAAAAACGGCTTAACGTACAAGGATGAAATAAAATTATTTCCCGCTAAATCGACCCCAAGGAATAACGTAAAAATATTTTTAACTTTTTCCCAATACAGGGTGTGCCAAAAACTGAGGGTCACTGGTTCGAATCTCGGAATTTTCAAATGTAAACATATGTCATGTTATACATAATTTTAAATATATTTGATAGACAAACATTTTGGCGAAAACAGAAATAAGTTATCTTTTTCCGTTTTAAAATGGCAGCAGTTTTTTTGGAAAAAATCTATAACTTTTTAATACTCTGTGTTTCCTATACCAATGCATTTATCCCTTCTCCGGTTGAATTTTCTTACTCGTTATGAAATTAGCTTTACTTTGATATGCTACAAGTAACGGTTTTTTGAAATTATAAAAATTCCAAAAAAATTTATTTTTGAAAATTTGCAAATGGTCATTTTTCAAAAATTTCAAAAATCAACATATGTCAAGTGGCACAATTTGATATAGGAAAATTAGGTTTTTTGTTATTTACGCAAAAACTAAAAGAGATACGAAGTAAGTGTAAATTACAAAGTTTTTAGGAATTAAAAATCCTATAAAATGATGTGCCACTTGACATGTTGCTATTTGAAATTTTTGAAAAATGACCATTTGCAAATTTTCAAAAATAATTTTTTTTGGAATTTTTATAATTTCAAAAAACCTTTACTTGTAGCATATTAAAGTAAAGCTGATTTCATAAGGAGTTAGAAAATTCAACTGGAGAAGGGATAAATGCATTGGTATAGGAAACACAGAGTATTAAAAAATTATAGATTTTTTCCAAAAAAACTGCCGCCATTTTGAAACGGAAAAAGATAACTTATTTCTGTTTTCGCCAAAATGTTTGTCTATCAAATACCTTTAAAATGATATATACCATGACATATGTTTACATTTGAAAATTCCGAGATTCGAACTAGTGACCCTCAGTTTTTGGCACACCCTGTATTGGGAAAAAGTTAAAAAAATTTTACGTTATTCCTTGGGGTCAATTTAGCAGGAAATAATTTTATTTCATCCTTGTACGTTAAGCCGTTTTTCCGTAATCAATTTGAGACACCTCTTGTGAGACACCCTGTATAGATGAAACCCAAACATTTATTTTACCAACGCGGAAGTAACTAGGCTTACTGTAAGTAACTAGGCTGGCTGTATTGTCCAGTGGCATGATGTAAAACAACCTGAAAATGAATTTGGAAGTTGAAGTTGAAATTGCATCAAATGGTGTCAAAATGTAAACTGATTTTAGAATATCAGTCGCAACAACCAGCGACAAAAGACATTGCCAAGTTCAAAAGAGCTTGCAGGACAACTTTTATGGTAAAACGGCAGGACAAGTGTCTGGTAAAATTGGATTATTGGTTGGGTACCTGAGTGGTTTATGATCTAGTAGCATTCAAAAGGTTGCCTGTTTTCCTCATATCGCGCCACCCATTCTACACTCATCACTATTCATACTTGGCTTTAAATACCTACTTTGTATGGTCCCCATATCATTGAACAGTATCAACAGTAACAGTTAGTAGGCCTAGCTTTTCGATGGTTTGATACTGTCCAGTTTCCTTGGTTATTATTGGGCTTTCAATCTATGGTTGTAGCTTCGAAACAGCTATTTTCAGTCAATAACAAAGCTACACATATCATATCACTCCATTTTACACTCACTCTTCCTTCACATTCAGACTAAAATACTGAACAAAGTTTGCATTTATGTCTTGATGAACTGAAGCTTAGCTCCGAGAAACTTATGAAAATCTGATACGGTAGAGATAATATTTTATATTGTTCAATAACATTTCACTCAGTAAATTATTTAATATCTGAACCTCGACAAACAAAATATTGGTAAAAAGAGGATTTTTCCACTTACAGTAATGGTATTTAATCTCCACAGCATGAACAATTTAAAAACTAAGCACAGTTAGCTAAAACCAAATTGGTACCTAATTAACATTTAAGTTTGGACACAAAATTTAAAGTAAAAAAAAAACTAGCTTATTATGAAACAATGGGTTTACAGAAGAGTGAAGATATTTAATCATGGATTTATTTAAACATAGGCCTATACAATCATTAAGAATAAGACAAGGATGGGTATAGCCTATTTATACTATACAGGGTGAAACAAAAAAAGTGTGGAATGGAGTGAAATTGTATTTAAATAAAAACTACACATGCTACAATGGGACAAAACATTGTAGGCCTATAATGTTAATTGGTATACACAATAGCCTAAGTATATTATTGTTAGGCCTATAACTTTTCTTACCTTCCAAGCATGTGTCTAAAACTACAATCAAACACTCAGCCCCATATTGTTGAACGTCCCTAGATACAGCATGAACGCTTATTTGTGGATACAGGAACGAAATACCTTCTCCATCGTTGTTTATCCATGTTAACTTGCTGAAAATATATTTACAACTTGTTAACTAAATATGTAGGTAAATTGACAATCTGTCTTAGTAAGTTTTGGATTTTAGCAAATGTCCCTATAGTGAAGTACCGTAGATATTAGCAAATTTCCCTATAGGGAAGAAACTGCTATTACTGTAGGTAGACCTGGTAAGACCTAAGTAGATCCAGGGCCTTTTCATTTTGATGTCCCCAAGATGCCAAAAACAACATTAATTAAAATTTGTATATGGTCTATACGTACATATAATATCTATATACCTAGGTACTCTATATACGTCTGTAAACGTGAGAGGCCTAACTCAAGTAATTTTGATCTGGTTTAGATGAAATTTAATTTAGCTTTGAAGGTGTAAGTTTAGGGCTGAATAAACTTTAATGAATTTGCACCAGCAAGATTGGATCATTAGAAAAAGGGAAAAAGTTAAAAATGTTCAACACATTTTATCATTTGATTTCCCTCGCCTTCTTTTCAAATTTCTGAGGGTCACTTGTAGGCCTAAGCTAGCCCTGATAAATTTACATTTAAGTTAAACTTATTATCTGGTATTATCAATTTTTATGTCACTGCTTCCATTTTTTAATTAGGCCTAGTGTTTTGGAGCGTTTTTATACACTTTTAACTTGTTTAAGTTAGGCTAGGTAACATAAACCAACAACTCGATTAATTTTAACCTAAACTTTACCTTACCTAATCCAACCAACCGTACCTTCAAAGGACTTAATACAGACTTAATTCACATAAGTTTTAAAGCCAGACCGACCACCCTAAAATCAAAGGAGTTTGCTGACATTCTAGAAGTTTCGTTCAGTTAGGTTACCTATGTTAGAACAACAGCCTCACCATTTTCCTACATAATCCCATTTTAAGAAATTTCCTATGAGTAACTTATTAACTTCTTATATTGGGATTCAACTTGTAACTTACTTGTTGTTTGTCTAAAGGCACCACCTTGATTATTCAAACATTGTAGCCTACATTTTAACAGCTAGAGCCTATATCTACAGTAGTACCGGTATTCATTTGCTGTGAAAAGTAGGCCTAACTTAATGGTATAGCCTATTTGGATTCAAGAGGTATAGCCTATAGCCTAAAGTTAGACATAAAAATTAAAAAATTCGTTTGGAGACACCTATACTAAATAATGACCTAAAACCCTAACAAATACCCTGGACAATCGCTCAGTGTGACCATTGGTAAATTGGGGCCTGTGTGCATAGAATGCCAAGCAAAAAGAGTGAGCCTAGGCTATACAGGATAAGAACTAGGCCTACCACTGTAAGTTAGGCTACTAGAGCCTATAACAAATTTCCTATGACGACCCCTATGGCGTAAAACATAGCAACACATTGGTTTCAGAAGCTCATAGCTTACCTACTAACTTTTAGTTACGGTACTGTAAGTAGGCTATATAAGTTACCAATTGAGCTTCACCTTGAATTTGAAGGATGCTAAACTTAATTAACTTATAACTAACTTAGAAGTTGTTATAATAGATAGGCCTTAAACAAGCAACGAGTTCTTAATCTTAGCTAAAGTGACATAAGCTAGGCCTAGACCTATTTATGTTGCAATTTTCCTACCTTTCCGTGATATACAGTGTGCCAATTCCAAATTCTTGATCAATTACAAATAATTTCGTCCGCGGTTGTTCATGTTTTATACCATCAGTTGGAGCTGGGAAACTTGTAAGCATTACCATTTTTAGGTTAATATGATCTTTTCTAAAATGAAATCAATTAAAACAGAAGAATGTGATGACACTAAGGCAAAAAGGTAAAACAAAATTAAGATAAACGAATTAAAATTGTTGGATAAAAACCACAAGGGAACAGATCTGAAATAATTACTGATTCGTACCGTACTTCGCGGCTCTGCAACTCTCAGGATTCGAGGATTCTAGGCCTATGTTCAAGAGATTGGTTGGTTTGATTTTGTTGATTGTTGATTTTGACAGCCGGTGCTTGCTGAGATAAACTATCAACAAAACGAAACAATAAAAAAAAAAGTTGAAGTAGAAAATACCCCCGCCGCAGCAAACCTGCAGACTAAGTATAAAGCTGAAGCGTCAGTAGAGCGAAGAGATAGGTTATATGCATTATACTTGAAGGCAAAGCGTAACTATCAGGCTGAAGTAGATGCTGCTAAAAAGCTGCATACTGTACATAAAATTGAGCGTTCCAATAACAAGTGTAAGGCAGCTTGGAGTGTCATAAACGAATCTAGAAAATCAAGAGCAACCATTAGTAGTCAAATAAGCCCTGATGAATTTAATTCCTACTTTGTAAGTACTGTAGATGATATTGTTCGTGACATGCAACCTGACAGTTCCGTTGCTGCTCTAGCGGTGCCTGTGGCACAACAAAATTTCTTGAAATGGAGACCTACAACTTCAGCAGAAATCATTAGAATTACTAAGAACTTCTCAAACTCCTACAGTCCAGACATATATGGTCTTACACCACACATCTTGAAGCATATTATAGAAGCCGTTGCTCAACCCCTCTGTAAGGCTATAAATGGCTGTCTGTCAACGGGTGTTTTTCCTGATTGTCTAAAAATCTCAAGAACTGTTCCTATCTTCAAGAAAGGAGATGTAAACGCTGCATCGAGCTATAGGCCGATATCCATCATTCCCTGTTTGGCAAAAATACTTGAAAAAATAATGCAAAACCAAATTGTAGACTATTTTGAGACTAACCATCTTTTCTCAAATTCACAACATGGTTTCCGTAAAGGAAAATCAACCGCTACAGCTCTCATCTCCCTAGTGAAAAGAAATACAAAATGCCTTTGAGGACAAGCATTCCATGTCCATTGTCCTATGTGATCTGTCAAAGGCGTTTGACGTTGTCTCCCACAGTATTCTTCTTCAGAAGCTGGCTCGATATGGGTTAGGTGGGATTGTGCTCAAAACTCTAGACTCCTATCTTTGTGAGAGGAGCCAGATGGTGGCCATACAGGGGGCTCTCTCTGCTCCAGCTAAGATGGACCATGGTGTCCCGCAGGGATCGATTTTGGGGCCTTCATTGTTCTTGATCCTGATGAATGACCTTGGTAGGGATGATGAAACCCTCCTATACGCCGATGACACAACTCTCTGTGGCAGGGGACAACACCCTCTTGAAGCGGCAGCGAAATCTGATGAACTGTTCAACAATGCAAGAAGCTGGTTTGGGCACAATGGCCTTAAATTAAATGAAGCCAAAACTCAGAAGCTTCTATTAACGCTCAGCAAAACGTCTCCATCTCATGATGAGCCAGTAAAACTATTAGGGTTTGTCTTGGATCCCAAGTTACAATGGGACTCCCACGTCGATGCTGTGTGCCTTAGGCTAAGGCGTGTAATTTTTCTCCTCAGAAAACTCAAACATCAAATCACGCAGAAGTACCTTATGACAATATACTTTTCATTATTCCATAGTCATATAAATTATGGAATCTTACTCTGGGGCCACTCATCAGGGTGTATCCGTATACTGAAGCTACAAAAACAAGCAATAAGAATTGTAACTGGAAGTAAACGATCGCAGCCATGTAAACCCATCTTTAAGCAACTTAACATATTGACAGTATACAACCAATATATATTCAGTTGCCTGCTTCATATAAAATCCAACTTGAATCTGCATGAAAATAGAGGGGAACAGCATGATCACAACATTAGGGGAGCACACAAACTGAACACAACTAGATGTAGGCTGGCTATGACAAGAGATAGTTTCCCGCAGGTTGCTGTTAAGATGTTTAATGCCCTGCCAAAATGTTTAGTAAACATGGAAGATAAGGTCTTCACCAAGAACTTAAAGGAACTTCTCCTAGCAAATCCATTTTACTCAATTGAAGGATTTTTTGAAACCTCAACAACACTGTCGCTAGCATAAGCATCCACCGCCGCTGCGCAGTCAGTATATTTTAAATATATGTTTATTTAATTGTAAAATTGTAAATAGTAGTTTTTAATTATTTTTGACGCTATCTATCCGGCCCAGGCTGGTCAACGATGAAGAGGAGTGGATTCAGTGGATTCAGTGGATAAGCGAATTTCCATTTGCTTTATTGGATTTACACAAAAATGTCTCCTTAAAAATACCACATTTATTCCCTATTTGAATACTGTAACATTAATTTAACGAGTACTTAGGTTTGCTGCAACAGGGAGGGTAAAATGTGTTTTTTTTGTAAAATGTTAATAGTTTAGGATGAAATGAATGCATTTTCCAAATTTGATCAAAATATGTTCATAAACAAGCAAACTACAACAGTTAGTTTACTTATTCTCCATAAGAATAACATGGGAATTTTAAATTTACAGTTTTTTGGAATTTTCTCCGTAACCATTAGGCGCATAATAACGCTTCAATATACTAAATTATTTGTTTTTTTAAGCTCTACAAAATGGTTTGGAAATAGAATGTTAAATTTTAAGTTTTTAGGGTTAAAAATGGGAAAACCCAATTTTTACCCCATAAAACCCCCCATAAACACCTGTTCCCATAGTCCGATCATGCTGGTTCGCGAACTCGTTCGAATAAACGTGGGTTTACAAGTTTGTACCAAATTTCATCAAAATCGGATGAGTTTTGCTCGAGTTATCGCGCTAACGGACACATATATAAATATATATATATATATATATATATATATATATATATATATATATATATATATATATGAATTTGAACGGATGGTGTTTTTGGCCTCTAGGGACCTCAAAACGAAAAAGTAAATCGGTCCCGGGTCCAGGTCTTACCATGAGTACTACGGTAATAGCTTATTCCCTATATGGGAAATTCGCTAAAAGTAGTAAGTAGCAAAACAGCAAGAAGACAATTAAGAATTATTGAAGTTGAAGCACAGTTGAAGACAGTTAGGTAGTAACGGGAGTGACTGGGCTGCTAAACCAAGACACGGCCGCCAGGTGGCCGTGGCGTGGGGTCACACATGATCGAAACTGAAATAGTCGCATCTGTCAATTAATGGTCATGCACTTCAAATAAATGTGAAACTTCTATTAGTTTTTGCATCTGATTGACACTGGATATCGACAACAAATTCAGTTTCAACATTGACTATACACAGAAATTGGTTTCAATCAAATTTCAATCAAGTAAAGACAAATTTTACTTAGTTAACTATTGACTTGTTCAGTAAATAAATTTTATTTAACATCATCACATTACATCAATTCTCTTGACAGGTGATTTGTGATTAAGTCTTATAAAACTAGTAGTACGCTTATTCTGCGCGTAACAGGATGAGTGAACATGAGCGCAATAATGAAAGAGTCCACCCACACCTAGCACACTTACCGGTGTCACTGGTGTACACAATAATGTTATTTGTATGGGCAAATCAACCCATGAGTCGGGGCAAATAATGGTGAGTCGGTGACTCAAGTCGGTAGCGTCACGCGAACTTCGGGCCCAAGGCAGCGATGTCGTGAGTTCGGATCCTGGTCACTGCCACTAAATTTTATCAGTACAGTTCACCTTTGTACTGTACCGGCTCACCAATTGCTTTGCTGTAAACGATCCAGGCACGGGCGAGGTTAAAAGAGGCTGGACCAACCTCTTAAAAAAACCAAATCTCAGTCAACAACAATCCTAACTTCTCGTCCATTAATTAACCAAAGTAATTGGTAATATACGTAATGTATTTCCTGTTTCCCTCTCTTCTAATAGCATTTTATTATTGCAGATACGTTAATCTAACTATCACAAAGAGTTCCCACACTCTGGACTGTTCACCTTGACTACTTCCTTTACCACTTCCTACGTCGTGGACCTGTTTCCCTCTCTTCTCATAGCATTTTATTACTGCAGATACATTAATCTAACTGTCACAAAGGGTTCCCACACTCCGGACTCCTCGCCTCGACTACTCCCTTCACCATTCCTACGTCGTGGACCTGTTTCCCTCCTTTCCCATAGCATTTTTAGAATTGCAGATACTGTACATTATTCTAATTATTACAAAGGGTTTCTACACTCCGGAATGCTCGCCTCGACTATTTCCTTCACCACTTCCTACGTCGTAGACCTGTTTCCCTCCCTTGCTATAGCATTTTAGAATTTCAAATAGATTAATTTAACTTTCAAAAAGGGTTCACACACTCCGGACTATTCACCTTGACTACATCCTTCACCACTTCCTACGTCGTGGACCTGTTTCCCTCCCTTCCTAGAGCATTTTAGAATTTCAAATAGATTAATTTAACTTTTACAAAGGGTTCCAAAACTCTGTACTGCTCACCTTGACTACATCCTTCGCCGCTTCCTACGTCGTGGACCTGTTTCCCTCCCTTCCCATAGCATTTTAGAATTGCAGTTACACTAATCTAACTTTCACAAAGGGTTTCTACACTCCAGAATGCTCACCTCGACTACTTCCATTACCACTTCCTACGTCGTGGACCTGTTTCCCTCTCTTCCTATAGCATTTTAGTATTGCAGGTATATTAATCTAACTGTCACAAAGGGTTTCTACACTCCGGACTGCTCGCCTCGACTACTTCCATTACCACTTCCTACGTCGTGGACCTGTTTTCCTCCCTTCCTATAGCATTTTAGAATTGCAGTTACACTAATCTAACTGTCACAAAGGGTTTCTACACTTCAGAATGCTCGCCTCGACTACTTCCATTACCGCTTCCTACGTCGTGGACCTGTTTGCCTCCCTTCCCATAGCATTTTAGAATTGCAGTTACACTAATCTAACTTTCTCAAAGGGTTTTTACACTCCAGAATGCTCACCTCGACTACTTCCATTACCACTTCCTACGTCGCGGACCCGTTTTCCTCCCTTCCCATAGAATTTTAGGAATGCAGATACCTAAATCTAATCGATATAAACAGTTTCCACACTCCAGACTGCTCACCTTTACTACTTTCTTCACCACTTCCTACGTCACGAACGTCAAGTTAGTTTCGTCATTTGATTATATTTATGATCCATACCGTTTCTGTTCTAATATCTGTGGAATAATGCTATTTCTTTATCTACTTCATTTAAAAGTCAACAGCTGATCATATGACTTTGTTTATGTGTCAAATACTGCTTCCATAAGGATGACATTGAAACTTTGAGACCCAGTGGGGCGGATTCCTGAGAGACTTTTTTAACGCCATATTAATCTAACTGTCACAAAGGGTTTCTACACTCCGGACTGCTCGCCTTGACTACTTCCATCACCGCTTCCGACGTCGTGGACCTGTTTCCTTCCCTTCCTATTGGATTTAGAATTGCAGTTATATTTATCTAACTGC